AATATGTCTTTGGTTGATGAGTGCCAAGAGAGCAAAGAAGGGACGAGATTGTCAAAGCGTTAAAACACGCCAACGCCAGGGAACGGCTGGCATCGTCCGGGCGTTAAAACACGCCCGCGCCAGTCAAAGAGTTAAGTAGGTACAGTTACAGATTAAATGTAGCTTCAAGATGAAGTAGGCAGACTAAACATTAGAGGACTGTATTCACAATGCATTCTTATATTAAATATTATTGGTACAATTAAATACTTCTGCATTATAATAAGACTTTCTATTTTTGTTAAAAAAAATACTTTTAACTGCTTCACAATGCTGGCAACTATGCTAATAGCTAGACCATACAGTGTCAAATGATGCAATGATGGATGAACTGAAGGGTATCTGGAAGGAAGTATATTCATTCATTCATGGAGCTGAGGCCTTATTGAGAAGCCGCCAATTGCGCAGCTACTGAAGAACTTCTCTGCATTTTATGGAACCTGAAGGTTCATTACCATGTTCACAAGAGCCTTCCACTGGTCCCTATCCCGAGCCACATCAATCAAATCCATACCATCCCATCCTATCTCTCTAAGATCCATTTTATTATTGTCCACCCACCTATGCCCTGGTCTTCCCACTGGTCTCTTTCCATCTGGCTTTCTCACCAATGTCCTCTATGCAGTCCTCTTCTCTCTCATTTGTGCTACATGCCCTGTCCATCTCATCCTCCTTGACTTGATCATTCTAATTATACTTGGAGAAGAGTACAAGTTATGAAGTTCCTCTTTTCGATCCAAATATTCTCCTCAGCACACTGTTCTCAAACACCGCCAGTCTATGTTCCTCCCTCAAAGTCAGAGACCAAGTTTCATACCCATACAGAACCACAGGCAAAATTATAGTTTTGAATATTCTAATTTTTATGTTTCTAGACAGCAGACGAGAAGACAAAAGGTTCTGGACTGAATGGTAGCAAGCATTACCTGAATTCATTCTCCTTGTAATTTCCTCCTGAATCAGGTTTTGACTGATTATAGTCGTTCCCAAATATCCGAATTGCGTCACATTTTCAAAACATCTGTTACCTATCTTTATGTCATGATTTTGCTCCGCATTCTGGTGACAAGACAGTGACATATGCTTAGTTTTCTCTGTGTTTACTTCTATCTCAACTGGAAGGAAGTATAATCATGGCATAATCAAGGAACCACACAAGCATTATTCTGATGGGACTGAGGAAACCACAAGAGCAATGATTCAAACCAAGCACCAAGTCAAGAGCATTACACTGTGACAACCAACTCAATTCGAAGGTAATTATATAATATATAGATCCTACAAAGACATGAAAAGTATGGAGTGAAAATAAAACAGTTTTATTTAAAGACTTGGTTCAGCCATGGCAAAAAAAAAACCTATAAACTGTTCCGAAATATTTGGGACAAGACACTTCAGTGACTGCTCACAACTATAGCTATACTGATTGTGTAGAAGAGTAAATAAAACAAAAATTGAAAACTATATTCCACTGGAGTTCACAAATTTTCAAAATGAATTCATTAGAATTTTGGACACCTGAATTGGATGGAATATTACTTACACAGATCTATTATGGCAAAGCTAATGTAACTGGAGAAATTTATTTTTTTACTCACTTATTAGACAAGCATAAAACTGGCTGTACTACTATAATTACTTAGGAATACTATAGTTATCAATTTCATACATAATTTTATTAAGCAAAAAAAAATTAAGATTAACAGAGAGGATTTTGATATAACAGATCAACTAGAGAACAGATAACTTTTCCACTTGTTTGTCTCTAATGCAATATAATGTAAATTAACAAACATATTACACACTACAGAGCATGGACACCACAATATGAAAGTAACCAGAGCAAAGTGTGGGCATACGTTCTCAAACAATGACAATATATTGACACACAAGCTGATGCAGTGCGGGGGTTTGCCTGAGGATGGCCTTATAGGGCCAAAACCTGTCACAACAGTAAAATAAAATGTGATTTTAATGACATTTTAGGAAATTTAAATGTGATTGTAATGATATTTTAAAATAAAAGTTTATGTCGCATTAGAGATGGAAACAAGCATTGAGTGATACATCGATGTAACAGGATGCTGGAATATAATGATCTGTATTAGTGAACAGATGATCTGCATTTTTCAGACACTGAAAATAAAATGGGAGTACAGCTGGACAATACATCAGATATTTACAGACATCAAGATGGCCTAAGACATTCTCACTGAAGTTAGTATACCTGTAAAACCACTGAGGTTAATTAAAATTTATTTAAACAACATTTGTAGTAAACTGTGCTAGAATATTACGGTAATGAAGTCTTCATGGGTAAACACTTCTATGACACATTATCTATTCAGGATGGTTTATCACCATTTCTTTTCTGCACCAATAGGAAGGTCATCCAGCCTTCTATCCAGTGGGTACCCCGGGTTCTTTCCCCAGGGATTAAACTGGGCCAAGAAACTACTTAACTCTGTCTACAGCCAAAAGTTAAGAAAGAATGGAACTATAACTCCACAAGAAGACCAAGCCTCTTGGTGGGCAGTAGTGGCAATTCATTACCTTCTTCTACAGAGGTTAAAGAAAATATGAAGGGATTGGAACTGACTGCAACACATCAGCTTCTGGATCTATAATCACCTTCCTCAGCTGCAAGATTTAGGCCTTTTGGCCTATTCATCTTCGGGTTAGAGGAATTGAACTTTCCATCGCTTTGGTGGCTGATATCTCTCCTTCTTCTTACTTCAGGATGATTTTTTTTATTGCTAGTGGGGTGGGACTAAGTCCCTTGTACTGCGGCCACTTCTAGCCTATTGTACCAGCCCAAGATGATAGGTGAGGGTGATTGTGGAGCAATTGGTGGAATGAAGATTGGCGGGGGAGACCGAAGTACTCAGAGAAAAACTGTCCCAGCGCCACTTTGTCCACCACAAATCCCACTTGACCAGACCCGGAATCGAACCCGGGCCGCTGCAGTGGTAAGCCAGCTTGAGCTATGGTGCGGCCTACTTTAGGATGATAGTAAAAACTTCTGAGGTATTTGATTATATGACATCCCTGAAATACAATCTAAATACTTCTGTTGTTATTCTTTACTTTATCATCATCATCATCTACTTCAAGTTAGGCTTTTATTAGCCTGCTTGGTCTCCAAGATTAGCTTCCCACAATCTTCTCAGTCCATCTGGTTGGTAATTCTTGACTTTCTACACCAGCCCATTCTTAAAATGTGATGCCAACACTTTTTCTTTGGAGTCTCAAGTCTTCTGCTTTTGCTCCTATGTTAAATATCTTCAGTTCTTGTGTAATATCTATGCTTCGTTACTGTTTACTCCTCTATAGCCTGCCAGTGATATTACAAATCTCATTTCAGAGGATTTAATCTGTTGAATCTATAATGATGTTACTTTATTTATTTCGTGCATTTCATGCAAAAACTGCATAAAGATAATTTTCTTGCATGCTTTTAGTACTACAGCATGAACTTAGATTTCCAAATGTTCCTTGCCCCATCATTACGGTGCAATTCTTAAAAAGCTTATAAATTAAATCTCATAACAGTAAAAAAATAAATAAAATTGTGACAGGACACCTGAAAACTGGAACAGTGAGTCAGAAAAGCACTCTGGAGATGTCCACTGCTAAACAACGGCTATGTAAACATGTTCTTGGGGCAACCAATACACTTGACGAACTGCTGGAGGCACCACTGGCTATTAAATCTTCCCCAAGTTTTTGAAAGAGGACAAAAAAAGACCTTTAATGGTTTCGCCGGGCCAATACAAAATTTGGCTGTGCTGACGAAGCCCAGCAGCAATTTACCCAACTGACCAACACAGTAGCAGGGATGAGAGAGAAAAGTATGTTCATAGGTCCCGTGAAGTCTGAAACCAAGAAAGACTGTGCTGGTGAAGGCCAGTGGCAAATTAACAGACCAGACCAGAGTTGCAGAGTCCCTCAGGGAAAGGCCAGCAGCAAATTACTGCTGTTTTGAGTAGTTACAGAAAACACAATACTCCCTCTCATCAAAGAGGAAGTCCCACTTCAAACCACATAATCTGTCTTGAAAAGAACAAAAATCTGATCCTGGGTCCTGACGGTGATCAAACTCAAGGATGACTGTGCTGGCAAAGATAAGCAGAAAATTACCATACCACACCGGAGTTGTCAGTAGAGGGTAGTCAAAAATAGCAGTCAGACACCTCCTCTTTTTGAAGACTAGGCCCAATTTCAAGACACATAAATAGTTCTGGATTGAACATAAACATGGTGAGGGGTCCAGACAGGCCCCAAAACCAAGATCAACTGTGCTGGCTAAGGCCAGCAGAAAATTTCTCCTCTGCTCATTGTTGTTCATTCAGGACACGATTTCTTCAGCATGGAGGCAGCAGACAGAATCCCTCTTGTTAGAAGCTGCTACCAAAAAACACATATATGAAGACATAGCAAAATGAAAGACTTGGAACGTGATGTAGATATTTACAGATTGAGCAGAATAGTGAACAGTGTTGTAATTATTTGTAGATATGAACAATAAGCATCCAATAAATTCAATAATCAATCTGAACTGTTCAGTAACCTAGATGTGACAATATCAGTACCGTGTAAACCAGAGTATGAAGAGTTTCAACTCTGTCTGAATCAGAAACAATTTCTGTAAACACTTTTCAGTAACAATGAGTTTTATTATGCATTTCATTATTATTAATATTTCTCTTTCTGTGCAATAATATTTCCTAGGTGCACAATCCGTGTCCAACACAGTGAAACCAGATGCATGCCAATGCCAGACTATGAGACTATTAAGATCTGAAGCTTTCTTGGCAGTTAAAACTACTGAAATCCTTTGGGGTATCAACCATGTCAACTGAGAACCTGTTGCAGTTCTTTTCACAGCACTTTCACAAACAGACCTACTCTTCATCAGACAGACCCTCAAAATGACATTCGCAGCAGCTCATTCTATGATGAAAGGAGATAGAGTCATCATGCTATCCCCCCTTACCTCTGTAACAATCTACTCCTATATGGAATCTTTCGAACTGCATGTCATATGCTTTGGCAGCCAAGCAGACAGCACAATGATACAGACATGTGGACATTTGTTGTATGAACATCAGGGTCTCCTTCACCATCTCAACGGCATCTACCCTAACATAAACTTAATTACAGAATTGGAACAGAACATGGCACTTCCTTTCTTAGATGTCCTGGTGAGCAGAACAGTGGGCAGCTTGCAGGACCTGTCTCTAACTTCACACAAAGTCAAAATGCCACCCATCATAGAAACAGGAGGTACTGAATTGATGCTGAACCTTGCTAACACAGTAATTCTTTGTACAGAGTCCTGTGGGAATCATGACCATATCTTACTATCTCAAGACTCTTGAGTCATGTCATCCTGTAGGCTGGTAGAGTAAACTGCTGCTGGTCTGCACCAGCAGTCATTCTTAGTTCCAAGTCCTGCAGGACTCAAGATCATATTGCACTGTCTCACAGCTCTGAGTTGTGAAAGGACATTCATCATGCTATCCTGACAGCCTGACTTACACTCCCCCACCCATAAGAGGCCATGGAGAACCACAGTGTTGTTGTGAGATGTTGAGACTTTCACATTTTCTAGACAATCAGCTCAGAGATGGTGGTGAGGTCAGCCTTATGCATTGGCCAACCTTTATCCTATGGAAGATTGACCTTAGGGCTGGAGTGCGGTTGGAAGGATTAAGTCACCGACTTCTAATTTGCTACCAGCCCTAGCCAGCACAGTGATTATTGGTTCCCAGCTCTGTGGGACTCATGGACATATTTTACTGCCTGACAGTTCTGGGAGCCTTTAGGCTTCTTCATCTCCATGCCATGCCATGCCATCCTGGTCCCACTGGTAATCCCCATAAAACTTTGGGAAGGGTCACAAAGGAAACACCGCCTTCAGCAGTTCCTTTATTGTTGTGTGCATGTCTGTTGCCATGGGAAACAGTTTACTGACACGTTGTCAAGCAATGGACAGCTCTGGCTTCACTATTCTGGCTTTTGGGTGTCATGTCAAAATACTGTCACATGCCTACTGAGGGCCGGAATCGTGAAGACAGAAGAGATGGCTTTTAGTTGGAAATTGCTCTGTAAACACATCTGTTGCTCAGTGGATGTCACATGACTGGCTGCACTTACACACAACAATGGAAGAACTATTGGAAGTGGTGTTTTCTGTGCAGTCAGGTGCTGCAAGAAAGGTTGTTTTTTGTGTGATCTGTCCCAAGGCTATACCATGAGGGCCAACAGGACACCAGACCTGTGATAGCAGATTTAGTTGAGTTCAGAGGCTGGCAGTCTGAGACAGTTGCCCCCTGGTGGAGATGCAGGAGTTCCCATCATTGGAAGCACTGCATAGAAACATCAAGAGTTGTGAGAAGGCGCCAGCCAATGAGAACTGGAGCTGTAGAACACAGAAGCTGAGGAATCCATGGCTTTGGGAACACTTACCCGGTGACAATTAGGGAAGACAGAGAAGAGTGAGAAGACTTGGTGCATGATGTAGAGAAAGAGAGAGAGAGTGTGTGTGTGTGAATCAGTGAAAGTACTATATTTACTTGCAATTATGAGAGTCAAGGAACTTGAGATGGTGGTTAGGGAGTGCAACTCATAAGCCATAAGGGCATGGCAAATAGCCCTTGTTAGAAGACTATGACCAGGCGATGCCCAGTTGAGATGTGACACAGCCACCTGGTAGTAAGAACAGAAACCGTTGAACATGGAAGCCATTACCAGACAACTGGCAAAGACACAAGAGACTGAGAAGACTTAGTGCATGCTGTATTGATTTGTCATGTCTGTAGATCCATGAAACTCTTATAGCTAACCGTGGTTATGAGTTTCAAGAGTTCAATAAATCCAATTACCAATCCCAACCTTGTATCTAGTCACTTATCACATAACAGTAAGGTAAAGGTAAAGTTGTCCTTGTGCTCTATGAATTGAGCACTACGCCATGAAGGCATACAGGGGAGTGGATGTACAGATCCACATTTTCTTGACCTCGGCACTAGCTGGAGGTGAGTGGTCAGCTTCAGGCCCTGGCTGCTTTACCCCCCAGGAAAAAGAACCCCAAGTACCCATTTGATAGGTTGGGTTAGCCCCAGAGCTGGACTCGATGATTTAAAGAGAAAATTCTTGAGTCTACTGGGACTCAAACTCCGACCCCTCAGTCATCCAGCCCATAGGCAGTCTCTATACCAACTATGCTACCCCAGTACTATTACTTACTCTGTACCCAATCAACAATGATCTTCGCTGAATACATAACTAAAAGGCACAGAAGATTAATTTCTGTCACTTAATGCAACTTTATGTGAAACCAAATTTCTACGGCACATTGTCAGAATATGAAGTACTCTAATAGACTGGATACTAAATCATGCAGAAGTGCCTGTCTCTTTAGAATTATTCCCAATATCTAGACTGTCTTCTGAGTTGTGGTACTGCGCTGCCTTTTAGATGGATAACACATTTTGGAGGAAGGCCCCTCTTAAAATTACAATGTGTTGTGAGTAAATTACAAGACAACATTAACATTCCTCTCACTATGAGGTGACCTAGTGAAAAAAAAATGTAATTTCTTCCACTTTTTTGTACACATCACAAAACAAAACATGTTCACGTTACTACAAAACTGCAGAGTTCTGTTCACATTCTTACTCTCAGTATGTTTCCTCTGTTTCTTGTGGCACCTTTGACAGGCAGAAGGATTTTGTGGTCAACAAACTTTGGATAACACTGCTCTATTTCATTACCTTCCATTCATACAAATGGGTAGACAGAATGTGAAAGTATTATCAATTTTACTGAAAATAAAACATCACAAGTTCTTCAGACAACAGTTTAAACTTGTACAGGAACATTTTAAATTTGTGTAGAAAAATTATACATCATCAATAAAACTGATCACTCATCACATGAAGTTAGGAAAGTTTTAACAGCGCAAAACAAAAACGATTTTTTATTTTATTTTTATTAAAAAGGTAAAGTTGTCCCTGTGCTTAATTAGTTAAGACCTATGCCATTAGGACATACAAGGGAGTGGAGGTATAGCACCACATTTTTTGGCCTCAGTGGATGGAAATCAGTGGTCAGCTTCAGAGCCCTGTCAACTCACCCCCAGGGAAAGAGCCTCCCGTACCCATTGGATAAGAGACTGGGTGAGCCCCAGAGTCGGTCTAGACACTGCCAGTAACTAAACCTGTCATGCAGCCTCTAGCCCACCATTATGCTGACTGACCTATCCCGACTCTTTTCTATTTTGATTACTTAAAGGAAACTGAAACAATCTGTACTGAACAGAAATTCACATAATCAAGACTACTGAACAAAACTAATTTAAATTACTACCCATAAACAATTTAGGAATGCCATTTGGGGGGAAACTGATACTGAATTCTACTATGCCTTTATGATATTTTCTTTGGAAGAGGTTTAAAGAAAGTAATAGAAATATTTTTTTACCTGTCAGATGCAGCATATTCAGTTGTGATTACTTTTGGCAATGGATTCACTCCCTGTGCTTCCAGCTGTGCCACATAGAACTCCTCCTCTTTACTTGTAGTACCCACAACTATTACCAGGTTACCAGGGTCACAGTACACCTTCAGAAGATTAAGGAAGACTGCCTCAATTCCTAGACCCCTGCACGCCAAAATAAAAGTGTGGTACTATAGATGAAAGAATACTGTAAAACTAAAATTCACTGCAATTCCACAGTTTATGGAATGCAACACTAGGGGGTTCTGTATGCTTACCATATCATAGATATCAATTCTGCATAAACACAGCTTTCAATTCATTGCATCTACACTATTTTCACATGTGTTTGCTAGAAACCTGAGTTATTCCAAACACACAAAAATTTCCCCTCTAACAATCCTTGTATTTTCAATTTTCTTCACTCCTCCTCCTTGTTAGTGTTCTATTCCATTCACTTTGTACAGTAATTTCTTGGTTATTATCTAGAATCTGTGCTTGTGCAATGAATGAGGGGCAAAGGACAACAGGAAGGGTCTGAACAATGAAAGAAAAACTGATAAATGTGAGACTCAGAGCCTCACACTTAAATGAAATGACATTTTGCTGACTATATGGAACACTGGCCACTTTAAATATGATGACAGCCAGATCCATGAGGATAAACTCCATGGAGCAGAGTCCTTTACAAGACAATGTCATATTTGCTCAGCTAATCAAGAATTTCAAAACATTACATGGAACTCAAAGGTTCATTACTACATTCACAACAGGCCATCATTGGTCCTCGTCTTCAGACAGATTAATCCAGTCCACACACACACCTTATTCCATCAATATCCATTTTAATATTATTCTCCCACCACAAATGTCTTCTGGTATCTTCCCTTCAGGTTTTGCCATTACAATTCTGTATGCATTTCTCATCTTGCCCAGTGCCAGCACAAGCAGACATAACTAATTGCAATGCAGTGTTATATGAAATTGAGTACAAAAATAAATTACACACCTTGTTGGAGTCATTCACAAATCTCTGTGTAAGGACCCTACAGTTACTGTTGAGGAAATTCCAGAAACTTGAAGGATGAAAGGTTTCTTCCTAATGCCCTTAAATGCAAACTGACTCCATATAACAAAAACAAACCCGCATTTATATGGCCTTCTGAATGTACACCCCCCCAAAAAAAAAAACAGCCACTTAAGACCAACAACGAATCCAATTAGCTCTCCTGGATAGGTTTCTCTGAAGTTACCAAGCCCTCTGGTCAGTAAGTCAGAATCATTTCCCAAAAATTCAGACCACTTTATATACTTGCTGAAAGGTGCAAATCTTCAATGACTAACTATCCCAATCAGCTCTCATGATGTTAGTCTGCACCAATTGATGAATTATTACAAGTAATCAGTAATAAGCTCCACAATGATGATACATTTTTGGAACGATCAAGTCTGCCAATAGAAGCCATCACAGAATTACTGGAAGTTTGTCTGTGGACCACCTATTTTCAGCTGAATGAGAAGTTCTTTTTGCAACAAACAAATGGTACAGCTGCATCCAGTTGTTAGCAACAGTTCTATGAAGCGTTTTTGAAGAACTGGCTCTGAATATGGCAAAATTTAAACCACTGTTATGGCTTCAATATGTGAATAATATAATTCTGGTCTGGTTACACAGCTGACAGATTAAACAGTTTCTTCACCCTCATCTGTAATACAGTTTACCATGGAAGCAAATTCAAGCAGCATAGTTCTTTTTCTGGATGTTCTGGCCACCAAAGTTTACAGAAAACCAATCCCATATTAACCCTAAATTTAAGTTAGTTCCCAGTTATCCACCCCATTTCCAAAGAGGAAGTGTACACACCCTACCCTATGCCAGCAACAGCCTCATGAAACCAATAATCTCAAACATGAGATTCTAAATCAATCAACTTGGTTCTAGACAAAACTGGGTAAGTCATCACATAAAAATTGAGAATAAGTCTCTCAAAATTCAAAGAGACTGGGTAATCATTCTAACATTAGGATTACCTTCTAAACTAAACACACCCTTACAAATTCATTTCTGAGAACTGGACCAGAAGTGCACCTTCCACAAACACCAAACTGCATTATAATACCTTGCATGATCAGTTAGGTTGGTGAAAGGGGGGGAAGGTTAGGCATGTGGATCGAAGAATACAGACATAACCTAAAAGAGGGTATAAAACTCCACTAGCCCAGCATGCATATGAAGGTCACAGGACACGCTGGGATGAAGCAATACTTCTGCCAACTGAAACAAATACCAGGTACAGAAATTACAAGGAGTCAACTCAGGTGGCATTTATGACAACTGGTTAGCCAACCCAGGAACATGGATTCCACTCACCAAGTTACAAAGCGATCTAGTTGAACCTGGTTTCCTCTGTTTCCATTCCTTTGTGTCACAGGTAGGTCCCAGCTTACTTCATGAATGACACTTGCAATAGGCAAGTTCATTATATATAATTATGGACTTATGTTACTGCTTTTGTTTCATGGGTTTAATTTTGATTTTGTGGTTGGTCTTAGTTTTATGTCTTCAGGAGTATTGTCATAATTGCTATTGTAATTTACCCAGAACACTGAGTTATGTCTTAGAATTGGACAATGAACAAAATCCTGATCCGCAGTTCTCCCTTTTAAAGAAATCATTCCAAGTAGTTCTTTGACACTGAAATCTTCAAAAACCATCTGAATAAAACTAGTAACTGGGCTGTCTCTCTGATGTCTGTAGATTCATCCAGTTGGAGGGAGAAAGCAACACAACTGGAAACATCTTTCAACAACTGTGCAGTTATGTTCCCACACATCATTTCTCTTCGCCACACAGTGGTGTTTCTTGATAATTGAAGATCTTGAATAGTAGCTATGATCTCGTTCTTATTTTTAAATCCTTCAAAAAGATTATCAGCTATTTGAGGAAAACACTATTTTACAAATTCCCCTTCAGTGAAAGGTTTGCATTTTTTAATGATCAGATTGCGTATTTTCCATTCAAAATCTGAATATAATCATATTATATTACAAGTAAATTTACATTTTTTTCAAGTATAATTTCCTTATAGGCCTATGAGATGGACCAAAAATCGTCCCACGATCAACCGGTCGATCGTGATCGATGCGTTGGACAAGCCTATGATATGGAATGTGATGTGTTGCAACATTCATCTTGCTTCAGAACAGTTTATGTCTGGTTATCACTTAGCCACTGTGGTGTTAGGTTGTCTAGTCTACCACTGCACTGTCTCCTTGATTAAAAGACTTGAAACTGCAAGCATAGAACTCATTACTTGCTTTCCACAGCACACACTGTTTCTCTGCATGAAAGTTGTATGCTGCTTCTAGCTCACAACAAGACTCAACCAAAATGTGCAATTCACAAATTCTGCAACACTTTTATCCAGGCATACTCATTCTGGAAACACCATGTCAGCAGTGCAAGTTGGATAGTCTGAAAACATCCTACAAGCTGATGGAGGGGGGACTGTAAACTCGAGAAACATCCAGAGGGAGGTGCACGAATATGCCATCTCAAGCTTTGGCCAAGCAACAGCACAAAACAATTTTGCACATTGTGAATCAGGTTACAATGTCACCCACAAGTCTGCTCTGGTAAATGATACATTTATACATTGCTACATAGCCAAAGCAGCTGAAACATTCAACATTTAACAGTACAATAAATCCACATCACTACTATCAAACGTAACAAAATTAACTCGAGGGCTAAGCATATTAAATAATTTTGACATTAAATGCGATAACAGATTAGGAACTGTTAACAGTCACAGTTATATGTTAAATGAGGATTCACATGTTAACATTATAAATAGTATTACACTGGCACAAGTAGCAAGGCTGTACTAAATGCTTCAAAGTGTATACCTGTACTGACAGTGTAATGCCTGCGTCAATATAAGATCAATACTTTTTGATGTAGGATGGTATGACATGAAAACTGAAATGAATGGCTTACCAACAGAAATGTACAAGAAGTCAAAATCATGGGTTCATACGATAAATACTAATAAACATATTGTGCACGGAATTATATTAAGGACAGATGTGAACTTTGGCCAGCATAGCCCAAAGGAAAGTGGGTGTAAGGGAGGGGGGAGTAAAACTTAAACCAGTTAAGTGGTTATGATGTCCACAGATGTCATGTGGTACTGTATATTGTAGTGGTCATGACATCTATAGATGTCATACGTTTCTAACTATCCCACTGTACATACTATAAGGCCAGTCAGCAATGGAAACTTGTATGTTGTACTTGCAAGATGTTCCAGCTACTTCAGAGTGTGACAGGAAGTAGCTGATTCTTTGACGGCTGTTCTGGGTTCGAATACTTTCGACTAAACATTATGGCAAGTCCTAACAAGATGTGTGTGAGGAGGTGTTTTATGAACTCTTACAAGAGAATGAATACATTGATATTTCACAGAGTGGATATAGTAGTGATAGTGAAATAAATGTGAAAATTTTATTAGGTGGTGAACAAAATGCCAGCTCTGATGAAGCAGAAAATGTCAGTGACAGCAGTAGCATGCAACATAATTTATGGACAAATTCAGCTGCTGAGTGACCACATTTTTTAATTATTGGCAAGCCTGGCATAAATGTTGATTTATAACTGCTGGTAATCTCCTGGAACATTTTCCATTGCTTTTTATGCCAAATACCGTGTAAGTAATGGCCAGAGAAACAAACTGATATGCCCAAAATTTTTAGAAAACACACCTTATCTAAAACTAAAATCTATGACCCATCACTGGGCTGGTATTGAAAACTACATAATTCTAAAGTATTCACAGTATCTGCCACTTGAGTTCGTGTTTCCAGTGGTATAACCGTTTTAATGATTATTTCATAGTCCACAAAAGATAACGATTTTGCAGTGATGTTTGGAAGAACAGTTCAGCTCATTCATCCAAACTACCATTGAGCTTGCCCACATGGCAATAAGAAACTTTGTTTATCAATAAGGGACCCACACTGTCACAATAAGCCAAGATGGGAGTGCATGTTTTTACAAGACAGACTTGTCAGTGGATTACTATAATTGTGTTTCATCTATAAAAAACATACACTGGTCGAGACCATGTATACTGAATGTGAATGTTTCAGGCATATGTATGAGATCACGTAGTCTGAGTGGATGTGAAAGTCAGTGGCAACAGTGGCGGATTTTTTAAATAAAGCCCAAAGTGCAGAATTTTACTATTATAAGTACATATTATACTAAGTATATTATATATAAACTTTAATGTAATGGCTACAGAAATGAAAATATAGGTATGAGAAGACTGATAATTGGTCTTTTGGAGGCTTTTTGTTCCATAATTTCATGACACAAGATTGAGATATTGCATTTTAAAAAGGAAGCAAAAATTATAAACTGAAATGCTGCAGTGACAAATCTAAATGTCCAGGGGAATTTAATGTGCCACTGCGGGAGAGAAAAGAACATGGAAAGGAACCACTTGACTGGTTAATATATTGTGACATGAAAGTCAGAAGAGACACCTTTTGCTAGGTAATGGCTCCCAGAAATGGGTATTCATCTGCTTCCAAGCTGACGTCATTGACGGCTGGCTACCATCTCACGACTAATTCTCAAATGCAACTCATGACTACCTAGCCACAACTGTTTGCTCTCTAGCTTGTCCAGCTGTCCTCATTACATAAGCCTGGCATGGACCACATACAAAACACTGTTTGCCACAGCTCCTGTATTGTTGTGTGTGACTCTCTGCTGCATAAATGATTTGATAGCCGTTGCCTAGCTGTGAACTCATTCACTGCTAGGTAACAGGTTGATAACACACGTCCATTGCCATGGATTTGAAGGCAACAATAGAAGAACTGTTGGAAACAATGTTTTATGTGTTGTCCATCACAAGACTATATAACTGGACATGGACAAAACCTCAGCTGTCTGACAGTAACAAAAATCTGGTCTTAGGACTCAGATAGGGTTTTACATCAAGACTGACTGGTCATTTGACTCTTAGTCATAACATGACTTCGACCCTGACTTGAAGTTAGGCATTGAGAGGGCTCTTGAGTCAAGAGTCAAGAGGCCCCTGAAGGCTCCCAGAGCTATCAGACAGTAAAATTAGGCCATAACACAGAACCAAAAATCACTGTGCTGGTGAGGGTTGCTCAGTTGGTCTGTCACTCAGTAAGTCAGAAGCTGCAAGCCAGCCACCATCCAGCAAGGACATGAGCATAAATGCCGAAGGATCCCGTTATTAGCAGCCATAACCTAGCAACACACAATTAAGTCTACAACCTAGCAAGAGACTGAGACTTTATGTATGCTACAGTGATTTGTAAAATGTGTAGATTAGTGCGAGTGTCATAATCTTTTCAGTTATGAGTTATAAGCATTCAATAAATCCAATTATCAATCCAAAACCCATATCTAATTACAAACATGTGACAATATACAAGGTGCAACAATTTAATTTCCAGAATTGCTCCGTGAAAGCAAAATATGCTTACCTGTGCATTAGCAGCTGCTGTCACCTTAGAAATACTCTCCTTGTGAAGCTATGAAAATCATGAGATGATGGTGCCACTGCTAGAAATGCTGCCGAAATACTTCGCAGTGAAGTCACATTGTGCTGGATGTCAGGAATGTCAGCAAATCTTTGACCCTTTAGGGCACTTTTTAATTTTGGAAGGAGCCAAAAATCACAGGGGGTTAAGTCAAGTCAATAAGATGGATGGTCCATTTTTGTAATGGATTTCTTAGTCAGAAACTCATGAATTCTTAACGCATCATGCGCAGGGGCAGTGTCACATTAGAAAATCCATTTGTCAGGCCAAAGTTCGGGTCTTTTCCTCCGAACAGATTCCCATAGCCTCATCAGCACTTCCAAATAACACTGCTGATTCACCATTTGTCCTTGCGCAGTGAATTCATAGTGAACTATCTCCTTGTGATCAAAGAACCACACAAGCATGGTCTTGAACTGTGAGTGAGACATGTTTTTTTTTTTGGCCAAGAAAATTTCTATGTTTTCCACTGCATGCTCTTGAGTTTTGTTTCTGGGTCATATTGAAAACACCATGTTTCATCTCCAGTAATGACACTATCAAATATCTCTGCATTGTGTGAAAGATCAGATGAAATGTGAAGTTGATGCTGTTTCTGGTCATCTGTCAAGATTACAGACACCATCTTTGCAAGAATTTTTCTCATTCCCAAATCTCCCCTAATAATCTGTCACTCTGTTTCCCTATTCATATTCAGTTCTTCTGCTGTTGGTTTTACACTAAATCTTCAACCTGACCGCACCAAGGTTCGCTCTCCGTCCACATTTGCATCTGTCCTTTGTGTTTTTAGCTACCAACTTCTTGGGTCACCTTGCACATATTCTCAACCTTCCTTGACCTACCTATGCCATTCAAAACACTTGATTTCTTTATAGCGTATTCACCATAAGCCACTGTTAATAGGGCTAACGTTTCACTAACACTTTCACCAATCTTCACACAAAACTTGATGTTTATCCACTGCTCCAGATTCTTGTCACTCATTTTTCCACCAACAGTATACAACTGACACGCACTACTTCTTCTGATGCTTGGGAATGAACAACTCATTTGGTCTGCGGCTCATGTAAACGCAAGCTGGAACATGTCCAAACATGCTTGGGTACATGAGTTTTCCTGACTCAACAACAAAGTGACACATTGCGGCCCTTCCGGTAATTAAATTGTCACACCTTATAATACAGTCTATATCCCTCTAGAAACATACTGCAATTATGTTCTATGAAAAGTGAGAAGGAATATGAAAATGTTTGCTCTAATATTAAAATTCCATTGTGACTCATATAATTCAATGGGAATAAGTAGAAATGGAAACTGGACAATTAGGCACAACAACATATACAGTAGGAGACACAAGTAGCTATTGAACTCTACCAAGGAAAATTCATCTTACTTTTCAGTAGTCTATGTAAATAACATATTCTAATTTAACCATTTCATAGTTGCATGTTAAATAGGTATAAAACTTTGCTAAAATGTTCAATTATTACTTTTAAAGGAGAACATCCAGTGACTTTTAAAATTCCTCAGAAGAATGGCCCTTCAGTAATTAGAAATCATGACAATATTCATTTTTGATCTGAACCTTTCATCATCTATACCGCAAAATAATGCAGATCCCCCTTGAAGCTAAAAGAGCGCAGGAGAATCTTACAGCATACTTTTGCTCTACAGGAAAATATAAATGTTCTTCACAGCATTTTAACATGGAAATATATGAACATTAGTTTGATTAATTTATACTGTCTCTGTTTAATGCATCAGAGCATATTTTGTGAGCTGTTTAAAGCTTAATTCTGTATTTACAGGTTCTTTCTAAAAATATCTTTTGGTTTTGCCTGCATTTAATTGCCTAACATAGGAAGTATCATCTAAAAAAGATCCTCCAGTTTCAACTGCATATAATTACCTAACAACATATGAAATATCAGAATATTTGGAGTTCCTGAGTTCAGCAGCCTTGGGAGACTATCACCTAACCGCATTTTCAGTACATGCCCCATCAGCGTGAATGACTATCTGCAGCTGACCTTGGAAACTTCACAGAACTGCAGCTAGAGTTTGTTCACCGATGCTGATCACTGCTGCCAAATCTCTTGTTTAAGTCCTTCAACTATGTGTGGATTATTTTTGTAAACTGCATCTTTCAGAAAGGCCCATAAGAAATAATCACATGGGTTAAGTTCTGAATGGTAAGGTGCCAGAGCCAACTGTATCTAAACAGCTCAACAACTCTGCTAAAATGCTCAATGATCACACTGAAGACTACATTTGGAATGTGTGGCTGAGTTCCAGTCCCATGAAAAAAGTTTCTTTGAAACTGAAACCCATTCCCTGAAGAAAGTAAAGAAATTATTCTTCAAGGGCATGGAGATAATAATCAGAAGTCACAGTATAGACAAAAAGACTTGGCCCAAAAATATAATTTGTTGGCAGAGCAGAAACATACTAAGCATTTCTCTGGGTGTAATGGTGTCTCCAATATGTTAATAGGTGTTCACTGGCCTGCACAAACATTCCTATCAACAGCACCTTTCCTGCTATCAATCACACTCCAAGTTTTGTCAGACTTGTAGTGTATTGCAGACTTGTTTGGTTCTTTCCTGCACTCCGATTTCACTCAGGATTCATGCTGAATCTTCATAATGCTAGTAATCTTTTCACTAAAAACAAATGCAGTTCTACTGAGTATGCCATCTTGATCACCTGAGCTTCAAGATGTTACCACCAGTGGCAGTATATTCCACAAACACTACCGAACTCAGAGACACAAACTGCAGTGACATTTGCTTGGTAATATGCAATTAAAACTGGAGAGCCTTTTCAGGAAGTCCTGTAAGAGGCATACACTTACCATTATAAAATATATTATATTATCATTACCAATATCACTGTACTTCTACAGGGTATTTCTAAAAAGATGATCTAATTTTAAATGCATATAATTAGCTAACAAATATAAGTGCATTTGATATCTCTTGAATTCAGTAGTGTCGAGAGAATTTGACAGTCCTGGTTGCAACATTGTAAAGCAGCAATGATCCAGATGGCATACTCAACAGAACAGCATGTGTTTTAGTGAAAATATATTTATTTGCTAGTGTTATGATGATTTCGTGTTAGGTCTGAGTACAGAAAAGCATTCAGCAGGTCTGATATATTTATATATATATGTGAGAAATGCCTGATATCATGCTTGATCCATGCCCTTTTTCTTTCACTTTGAAACTCAATGCAGACTGCCCTAGCACTTATATTTTTAAGAATACATCCATCTAGAAAACCGATATTAACGGCTGTGGGGATTCGTTGCGCTATCACCCTCTATCTGCTAAAGTTGGCACTAACTTCGTCGAAAAGCAGTGATTGCTCGGTCGGTATAGTTCGCTTGTGGACTAAAGCCACAGTTTTTTTTTCATGATTGATGTGATTTACCAAAGTTTCACAGATATCAGCAGTCAAGCATTTAAACATTCATTAAGGAGGACAATTTAAGATGAATACTTACTTAGCAGCAACCAGAAGTCCATCTTCATGAAGCACATCCAGAAACATTTGATTCTCATATTCCAGCATTTCAGCAAAAGTATTTTGAATTTCTCTTTTATATTAAGGCTGAATATTTTTAACTGTTTACAAAAACATTCAATTTACAAACATACACAAGTCCTAAGTTACAACACACAAATGTATTTAGTGAAATATTCACACAACCCAAACTGGAAGTACCATTAACAGAAAGAAACGAAATATCCTTATATACTGTCACAAAAACACCACTTCCACCAAAATATCGAAGAAGGACCATATCAGATTCCAGATGAAAGACTCCTTCTCAGCATCCTGCCAAAAATAAATAAAAGATGTATAAATAAATAATAACAGCAGTAGTAGTAGTAGTAGTAGTAGTAGTAGTAGTAGTAGTAGCAGCAGCAGCAGTAGTACATGGTATTTTTTTAAACAAGAACACAATGTTAGAGTAACAGGCCCAGAGGGTTGTGAGACATCGAGGCTTCCACATTTTCTAGACAATTGGCTCATAAATGGCGGTGAGGTTGTCACCCTTGTGTGTCCACTGCCCTTTACCCCCAGGAAGATTCCTGGTATTTATTTCTGTTAGAGACTGGCTCAACCCCAAGTGTGGGGGCCAACCACCTCTGAGCATGACATGTTGCATCCTAGCCCTCAAATATATGCCATTATTAAGATTCCTAACATTGGGTTTTTGTTTAAAAATGAAATAAATTTTGTAGACAAATATCCTAAGATATTTACATTAAAGAGCAAACTGTTACTTTGTATAGAAGCATTTCACATTGTTATTATAGCCTAGGTATTTACAAATGAAAATTATTAAAATACGTAGTGATGAATATTTCCCTGATGTAAGTAATAACACAATAGTATTTGTATCACAGGAAGTAATGTGCAAAAGATCACTAAAGGTCACACTGCAAGGGCCAGCAGTTAGACCCACCCCATGTGTGTTACAGGAAGTATGAACTGCAGTAGATATGCCAATTACACTTTTCACATTTTTAAATGACTTCCTGTGTAGAGTGTGCAGGTGGGTCTGACATTTTAAGACCCCAGACATTGTGGCTGCATATAAATATTCTACTATGATAGCACTCAAGGTCGCGCCATAGCTAAAGCGGTTAGTCGCTGGCTTCCCACTGCGGCGGCCATGTCATGTCATGTTTTTCTTAGTTATCTTAAAACCAGGACGATGGGTAAAGTCCGAAAACCCAATATCTCTATGCATTATACACCATCATCAGAATCCTATAGTAACCAATCACCTTTATCCCTGTCTACTCATTGCTATTATAATGAAACAACTTCAACTCTTGAAAATACTTTTGTGCACACTAGTAGCCTTGAAATAATATTTATTTTCTAACTGGTTAGTTAAGAGTCAGTACTTAATAGTTACTGACAATCAATGAACAGACAACTTTACAAATTTAAATCATACCATTTCAGAACGTTTTAGTACAAGTGACAAAAATAACTGACTTTGTTATATTTTAGCGTCCTGTTGCACTGATTTAAGTTCATGATNGTTTTCAATAATTTCTTCTACACCTATATGCTACAGCCACATACTAACATCAACAAAAGCTGATAAAGGAAAATGGCAGCTGAGGCGTGTACAGCAGCTCAGTGCTTAGCCCCAACAGTTCACTGGCTCAGATCTTAATAGCACAAGGAAAAGCAGTCATCCAGAAAACAAGAAAAGGCCTTTTGGTTTTATGGGTTTTTTTTTTGCATAGGGCACTTATGAGAATCTCAAATATAAATGTAATTGTTACAAGTCTTCTAAACAAACATAATTATACAGGCTTGCTTGTAAGAACACGACCAAAAATAAATCTGCAGCAGACAACATACTGCATCTAAAGCTCCTGTGTGAACGTGGAGAAGCTATGTTCACAAGGACATGCAGATCACCAGGAACATAAGCACAGTCTCAAAGAGACTAGAAAAATCAAAACTGGCCCAACATGGTTATTAAGGTCACAGGGTAGACAAGAATGAAGTCAGGGATTTTGCAAACTGAAACCAACAGCACATGACATATCTGACACATCCCATCAGTCAACCTAGTATGGAAATACCTCCCATATGGATTCCCCTAACAGCAAAGAGACGAATAACTTACAGGGATGCCAGCAGAGTTTACTAGGCTCTTCATGCATATCTCTATGATCTGCATTTGGGGGTTATATTTTGTATGCTAGTGGTAGGTGGGCGTTGTACAGCATGCAAGTTTCAGTTTTCTTCTGCACCAGTGTTTCTGCATTATTTGTAAATTCTCTGAGTTTTAGGTCCTCATAGCAATTCCCACATTTTTACTGTCTGTTGTCTTGTTATACCCTGTTGACACAATATGATACCAGGTGTAGTTAACTGTCAGGTTGTCCAATGATTGAGATCAGCCCTTTCCAATGGACACAAGTGAGGAGGTGTCTTCCAGCCCTTTCACCTAAGGATGGAAATAGATCCAGTTTCCAAAATGCATTTTTCATAATGCAAGAAGATAGACAAAGTCCCGAAAGCAATCCTGAATATCTGCTCTGCTTCACACCCTTCATATCCAGTGGTAAGATCTTCCATGCATGAATAAAATACAGCATAATCCAACAGATTCAGTGCTAAGAACTTCAAAGCCTGCCATTCAATACACTCCTTCATCCATCTCATCCTCATAACGTAACATCCATCACAAAGCTTTCCTTCCATCTCCTTCTATCATCTAAGTGCAAATTATCAAACAAGTTCCACAGTCAAAATCCTGTATGCATTCTTGTCCTCAATATAGCTCCTACACAAACAATACTGGGTCACCTGTATAAAACACAATGTAACATCATACAGCCTTTGCATACAAACAACTAATAAAATGTCTTTCATGTAGTAGGCCATGCTTCAAATTTTGATCACATATGATCTCATAGTTGTGAAGAGAGATCTTGAATGAGTTCTATACACTCAGTATACTGCACAGTGCAAAAAAAGTTATTCCTAAAACATAGCAAAAGTGAGGAGCTCAATAGGTTTCAGTGAAATTCATATAGGTTGTGTACAACAGACCTATGTACGTGTATTTATCTGTATTTATTCAATCTGGTTGATTCATTACAAAGAAAAATCTTTCCAACAAACAATTCTTTAGAAGTGCTGGATTACACTAACATCTGAACGTCTCAAATCCACAGAATGGACACCAAATTCTTCACATAAAAATCCATCAGATTACCATGTTTGGAACAAACTTAAACAGTTAGTCCACAAAAGCCAGAGAGAACCGTTCTGATCCATGGAGTAACTGCAGCAAAAAAAACTTAAAATGTACAGTGACCGGTATCATAAGGTAATACCCATTCACCCATCAACCAATGGAAAAGACAGGTTCAAGTTCATTCCAATGAAAGAATTGGTGCAGACATTGCACATGCCACCTAGTATACCTTGAAAATGAAGCTATTACTCAGTAGACCATTCTTGGTTGCTGAACACCAAACAACAATGAAATCCATCTCACTGATAAAGCCAGTTTCAAGAAAATTCACATTTCAAGTTTCGGCCCCTAGCATGCATACTGTTATCTTCCTAAAGATGTTACTTATGCAGATCAGTTAGTTAGTTTTGTATACATGTGGGCTTAAACTTGGGAGAATGTTATTGGATAACATTTGTATAAGTCGATAACAGTGACACGCCTCAATAATTACTGAAGTCAGTTTTATCACCCTTCTTGTAAACTGGTGAAATAATAGACTCCTTCCATTGCACAGGCAATTCTTCCTTGTTCCAGATAGAACTAATGAGTTTCTTGACCTCAGACTGTAATGTTTCACCTCCTGTTTGAATTAGTTCTTCTGGCATTTGATAAGTACCTGGTGACTTATACCTTTTCAATTTTGCAACAGAAACTTGAACCTAAAATGGACTAGGCTTGGGTACTTATGGCTCAAATGTATATTTTCCATCTGCCCAACATCACTAACCCATATATTCATTCATTGGCTGAGGGACGTAATTCTTCCACCTATTCACAATGTTGTTGGAAGCTTCATGCAGATCACTGTTCTAATCCTTTACCTAGCTAGTTCTAGATTGGTAACCCTTCTTAAATTCATTTATTCCTCTATATAAGTCTCTAATGTCCTTGTGCATACATTCTGTAATGTACAAATGATTAAACAGAATTCAACATAAAACTATTACTCAGAGCAAAAGTCAGGAAGCACTTTGATTGGGGAGCAATCTTGCTTGTTTATCCTTAATGTAATAAGAATGTAAACAGGGGGATATAATGAATCAGATTCAACTCTATGGTTATTGTGTGCATTATTACTTTCTGTACAACAACCACCATTTCTCTCTTAATCACCCTTCAGCTAATTCACAACTGGAAACCTGGATCATCATTACTGTTATGATTATCACAATCCTTGTGGGTGTTACTAACAGAGCCATAACAATGTATTTGCAGAGGGACTGATTATGAATATTCTGGGATCTACAATCTGAGGGAAGGCTGCCACTTCCAACTGCAAACTGATGGAAGTGCCTTTCATAAAATGTGAAAGTTTCACAAGTACAGAAGCTCAAATTTGATATCCACCACTTGATGTACTGCTGAAAAGGGCAAAATGATTCTATAATCTTAAAAAAGTATTACCTCCATATTTGATCCAATGGATGATGAGTTCTACGCTTCCTTTTTGAACTCTTCTGTTGTGTATCACTTTTTTCTGGTTGCTAGAGATGAAAGAAAATGCAACCAACAATCAGACTGTACACAAATTTGCCAAATTTTAGTTGAGGTTTACCACAATATTTGCATATTGCCAACATTAATTGCGTGTTTTTACAAACAGATTCCATGCTGTGCTTTATTTCACTGCTCATGTGCATACACACACAGTTACAGTATGAAAATGAGTTTCATATTGTGACATGTTGCGCAATGGAGGACAAACCCTCCCTCCCCTAGCAGTGACATGGCAGCTATGGCCACGGTGACGTAGCCCCCCTGGGCTACGTGGCACTGCTTCCTACTGTGATGAGGCACGCAACGCACAGTGACATAACACAGCGTGAGACAACAGTGGTACCGATTACATAACAGGCAAGTGCTGCGACTATATAAGGGAAATACACAGCCGCCGCAGTCAGTCTAAAGCGTATCAGCCACCGAAGTCAGTTACAAGTTCTCAAGTTACGAGTTAGCCAGGCAGTCAACCTTTCAGTTGTAGTCTAGCATTTGCAGTGTAGTATTTGTGTTACTGCCAATGGCAGTAATTGTCAGATTGTAATTAGTGTGAATGTAA